AAAATCCACGAAACTTGGCTAGTTTCAATTTGAAAACCAGAGGACACGGTTTTTACCAATTTTTAAGGATCTAAGATTTTGAGGAATGGAATTAAGTCGTCAGTCTACCAAATTATATGTTTACGATACATAGTCACACTTCCGGTTTCGTCCAGGAAAAACTCCGAATTCCAGGCATATGTGAATTTTTTCCACTAAAGAGAAAAGTTGGGACTCCTAGAAAAATAAAGTTTCATAAAAATCGGAGCACCAGTTCATAAAATATGATTTTTTAAATTTGAAGTGTAGTCGGTAAAAATTTTTGTTGAATCGATTTTTCTACAGTATGTTCTTGGAAAAGTAAAGGCAATATTATTGTGTCGATAACGAAAATTACTTTCGCGAGTCGAAATCTACGATTTTTTTTTTCAAATTGTTTAATTTTTAAAACTCTTCCCCAAAAATTATAATTTTCAAAATGGGACTCAAAAATGCACGAAACTTGGCTAGTTTAAATTTCAAAACCAGAGGACACGGTTTTTACTAATTTTTAAGCATCCAAGATTTTGAGGAGTGAGGAATTTTTTGCTAAATCGATTTTTCTAGAGCACTGGAAAAATAGAGAGAATATAAATGGATTCACTTCGGTAATTGCTTTTTGGTATATAAATCTAGTGCAAATTTTTTTGTTTAGAATTTTTCACTCCAGTTAGTTGGAAGAACTAGGAAAAAATTATAATTTCCAAAATGAGGAGCAAAAATTTGCTAAACTTGGTTAGTTTTGAAAATTTTGAAAATCGTAAGACCGAGCGGTAGATTTAATTCCACGATCTACCAAATTTTAAGTTTGGGATACACAGCTGGATTTCCGATTTCGTCCAGGAAAAACTCCACCCTTCAGAGAGACGTAACTTTTTTCCGATAAAGAGAAAGGTTGGGGCTGCTTGTAAATATTAAGTTTCATGAAAATCGGAGTAACAGTTCAAAAAATATGATTTTTCAAAATCAAAATTTAGTAGCTCGGAATTTTGTTGAATCGATCTTTTTGCAGTACTTAGTAAAAATGAAGAGAATATCAGTGTATTGATATCAAAAACAACTTTTCGGGGTGAAAATCTACTGTCAATATTTTTTTCAGAATTTTTCTATTGCTTTTGTCAAAATTTTTGTTGGAAAAATTAGAAAAAAAAAATATAATTTTCAAAATGACGAGCAAAAATTCGCCAAACTTGGTTTTCAAAATCAGAACCCGAGGGCACTGTTTTAGCAAATTTTAACGATCTAAGACCTGGAGGAATGGACTTCAGTCGACAATCTACCACATTTTAACTTTGGGATACACTGTGGGACTTCCGGTTTCGTCTAGGAAAAAATGCGGTCCACAAGGAGAGGTGAATTTTTTCCACTAATAAATCAAAGGTTGGTGCTGCCATTAAAATTAAGTTTCACGAAAATTAAAGCAGCACTTCAAAAAACACAATTTTTCAAAAACAAAATTTAGTAGCTCAAAATTTTGCTAAATCGGATATAAGTACTTTCAAAAGTTGCTTTTTGGGGTCTAAATCCACTGTAGGTAAACGAACAAACCAACCTTTCATTGTGCCACCACACCATTATCAATATTTTTTCCGAATTTTTCTATTATGCCAAAATTTTTGCAACCCAATGATTGAAAGAACTAGGAGAAAAAATGTAATTTTCAAAATAAGGGGCAAAAATTCACTAAATTTGGTTAGTTTTAAAAATCGGAACCAAAGGGCACTGTTTTTGCCAATTTTGAAGATCAAAAATTTGGAGAACTGGACTTAAATCGAAATTTTAAGTTTGGGATACACAGTTGGATTTCCGATTTCGTCCAGGAAAAACTCCGGCCCTCAGAGAGACGTAATTTTTTTCCGATAAAGAGACAGGTTGGGGCTGCTATAAAAATCAAATTTCATAAAGATCGGAGTACCGGTTCAAAAAATATGATTTTTCAACATCAAAATTTAGTAGCTCAAAATTTTGCTAAATCGATTTTTCTACAATACTTGGAAAAGTAGAGGAAATATATTTGTGTTGATACTAAAAATTACTTTCAGAAGTCGAAATCTACTTCTATGATTTTTTCAAAATTCTTCCTGTTAAAAGAACTAAACAAAAATTTTAATTTTCAAAATAGAAAGGAAAAATTCACGAAACTCGGCTAGTTTAAATTTCAGAGCCAGAGAGGACGGAGTTTTTGCAAATTTTAAAGATCGAAGACTTCGAGGAATAGAATCAAGTCGACTCTCAGAAAAATTAAGTTTCAGGAAAATCGGACCACCAGTTCAAAAAATACGATTTTTCAAAATCAAAATTTACTAGCTCAGAATTTAGTTAAATTGATATTTTTGCAGTAGTTGGAAAAATACAGAAAATGTAAGTGTATTGATATCAAAAATAGTTTTTCGAGTTGTAAATCTATTGTCAATATTTTTTTCAGAATTTTTGTGTTATTCCAAAACTTCTCACCTCAGTACTTTTAGGAAGTAGGACAAAAGTTATAATTTTCAAAATAACGCGGTTTTTGGCAATTTTTAAGATCTCAGAGTTTGAGAAATAGAACTAAATCGCCAATCCACCAGATTTTAAGTTTGCAAAACATAGTCGCACTTCCGATATCGTCGAGGAAAAACTCGTACTCAGGGGGACGTTAATTTTTTTCCGTTAACAAGAAAAGTTGGGACTACTAGAAAAATCAAGTTTCATGAAAATCCAAGCACCAGTTCAAAAAATATTCTTTTTCATATTTGAAATTTAGTAGCTGAAAATTTTTGCTACAGTAATTGAAAAATTAAAGGGAATGTAAATATATTGCCACCAAAATTACGTTTCGACCCCGAAATCCAAACTTACAATTAGCAATTGTTTAAAAATTTCGCACATCGGAGAAAAACGAAGAAAAAAATTGTAATTTTCAAAATGAGACTCAAAAATTCACGAAAGTTTACCATGTACCAACTATTGGAGAGAGATATTTTTACATCAACTCGGACTAATACTAAATGTGACTTTGAAAGGGCTTTAAACGGACCTGTTCATTTTCAGCATACAGTTATCACTAAAACTTCATTGTTTGTGTTCCCGTTTAGATTTTTTCTCACTAAACCTTGGCGAAGTTAGCTATGAATAAGTCAATATATCAATAGTGACAATAATGGTGCTAGAAAAACTTAAAGCAACTTTTTATTCATAAGTTGACAACTTAATTTAAAATATCGAGCAAAAATATTTCCTCGTGAATGTATGATTAAAATTTTTTGTTTCGTGTCATGATTATGATGATTATGGAAAATTATTATGGCATTCACCTTCGAACTTTCTCGATAGGAGTATTGCATTCTCAAAGTCACATTTAATTATAAAGTTCTTTAAAGGATGCAAATCTATTCATTAAAAAAAAGCTCGGGTGTAATTATTTGTAATAAAACATGGATGACGTGAGAAGTAGAAAAAATCGTGTATGTAGTAGTTGGCAAATTAAGTTCTCTATCGCCTACTACGATTGCAAAAATACAATTCGCTGTTGCCATTATCAAAAGTCTGTAAGCGTTATAATTTCGGTCCCGCATGTGTAGATAGCTCCACCTATGAACAAATGTCCATATTGCAGCCGGTATGTCAGCGTTTTTCGCCCTCGTTCTGCAGGGGCGGCAGCGACCTACCCTGCACGCAATGCAGAATCCGCCATTTCCCACTTCGGCCGGCTTTTGTGTATCGAATCAATAATTCCTTTTGATAAGCGCTAAGTCTGTAATGACATACATTTTTTATCGCATTATCCCCAAGTTTCAATCGGCTGCAGCCAGCCCGACGCGATTTCCTCGGAAAAGCTTCATCATTTATTTTGAGCGGGAAAATGGGCAGATATTCCCATGAAAAATTCAGCCGGCCGAGCGGCGGTCTCCTAATCTGGCGCAGTAATGGGTTTCTGAGTCATGCTCTTCGACCGGTCCGCAATTGCCCTGATGAATTGCGCGGAGTCGCGGCCCGCAAAAAGAGATCTGTGTAATCAATCATTAAATGGGGTTAACGGCGCAACGACGCTGTCGTCGCTCTGCCAGCAGCAACAGATTTGTCTATTATTGAATGTTCCGCGTCCGGAGTCCGGAGCCCGGCAGGCCGCTGCCGGAGTCGCCCAGAAGCCGCGAATCCGACCGCAGGGGTGCGATCCCCCGAAACCTCCCTCGCAGTGGTGTGTTCTTCGTCCGCGACCACGTGTTTTCCGTCTGTTTCCATCCAAGCCAAACAAAGGACGGGCACAGCCATTCATATTGATTTTCCGTGATAAACGGCGAATAAAAAACTTGTTGAATCTCGTCGTGTGCTGGCGGAGGTTTATGTGCGGTGCACGCGCTCTCACCGTTAATCCTCCCATTAATCCCCATTAACGGATATGGAAGCCGACGAACCTCTCAACCTCACCATCAAGAAAATGCCCATCGCGATCGTGGCCCCCTTCACCATCGTGGAGCCCAAAGCCAACAACGCCCCCGAGGACCTCTCCACGAAACCCCCCAAAGGTGACCAAGGGCTCGACCTCACCAAAACCAAAGACACCAACCTGGAGGCCAACCTCAGCCACAACGAGCAGCTGCGGAAGTACCTGTGCAAAAACCAATCCGACTCCGACTACCACCGGAACACCTTCACGGAGCGCGACAAGCTCCTAGACCTGTACAAGAACCTCCCCAACGACTCCATCTACTCCTTCATCAACAACCTCACCGACCATAAGCTGCTCAACGCCTGGTACATGAACGCGGTGCTCGCTCAACAGAACCCCTACCTCAACCCGCGCAAGAACGAAGCCATCGACAATAACCGCATCCTGAACAACCTCCTCGATAAGAAACCCTACTCCTCGTATAAGTTCCCGACGAATTTCGACGCGCTTATCGTCAACGAGATGCGTCCGGAGAAAGCCGAGTCCAAGAAGGACAAGAAGGGGTGCGTGCCGAAGGCGCGCTTCCGGTCACTGATGGCGATTTTTGTTGCAGGTCACAAGTCGACCACAAGAACAACCTGGGAGACTCGAAGAACAACCAGGATGGCAATAACGGAGAAAAGAAGAAGCCCCACATTAAGAAACCCCTGAATGCCTTCATGTTATACATGAAGGAGATGCGAGCCAAGGTCGTGGCGGAGTGCACGCTGAAGGAGAGCGCCGCTATCAATCAAATACTAGGACGAAGGGTAAGGGTTCGTTTTTACGTGCTAGGGAATGAATGGTGGGCGAGTGTGGCTTTTACTTGTTGGTGGATCGATTTACGATACTATGAAATATGCAAATAGAAGAGTTGAAACTGAGTACCGGGGTGATTTCAGTTGACGCGGTTTCATTTGACGGGGAAGAATGCAATTTTTTAAAAATTAGAGGACGGGATATTTTTAATTTGCTTGCTTCACAAAATTCCGTTTTTGATTTTGGAGGGAACGTAAAAGGTTCAGAATTTTGTCTTTTTGCGGTTTTGGCCAAGTTTGCGCAATCTATTGAGGCTCCACAGACAAAACAAATTCATATCATTAGGTTTTTCAGATCTTTTTGTCTTCACAAAATCGATAATAGTCTCAAAATGACCCATTACGTTTTGTAGAGGTCCAGGAAGTTGTAATTTGCGTCAAGTTCAGAAAAAGAATCGTGTTATTTGGTACCGCTTCTCCCAAAAATGTTCAATTAGAGTCAGATTTCTTCGAATTGATTTTCAAAAATATGGGGAAAAATACAGAAGTGAACATGTTTCGGTACTTACTGGTACCGTCATCTGAGCTAAATGATAAGCAGGAAATTAGTTACAAAAACAGAAGTACCAAACTAGGAAATAGAAAACGAGACATGTGAAATGCAAAGGTAAATTAAAGACATCTATGGAGAAAAAAAAAAAGTAATTGGCGCCATATATTGAGTGTTCTACAAATACCCAGTAGTAAAATGTGTAGCATCACAAATCTTATTAAACAATTTGTCTTTTGTAAAAGAAAAATCAAGTGAAAACAACAGAATTTAAGAAATCATTAGGAGGGAAGAAAAGAAAGAGGTATTAAAACCAGTTTATTCATTCTGATATATTAATTTGGGATTATTTTTCATTTAATCAGTTCTGGATTTTTTTTTTTAATTTTCGAACAAATGAAGCCGAAAATAACTTCTACTTTTGAAATCTACAGCAAAAAGTCGTTTGGTAATTTTGGAAAGATGCTCTGAAAACGGCAAAAAATGCATTTTATTGAAAAATTAACATTTACATTTCAACAAGTTGACCTCGGACGGAGATTTTTGAAAAATTTGGTGTGAAAATGAATTTTTTTAAATGAGTATTTCAAATCTGTCGATTCTGGAAAAATCTTTGAAATTTTCCAAGAAATGAAGCAGAAGATACCTTTTACAAATCGAATTCTACAAGAAAAGTCTTTTGGTAATTTTCGAAAGGTGTTCTAAAAGCGACAAAAATTCATATTTTTGAAATATTGAGATTTTTGAAAAACTGAATAAAAATCTTGAAAAAATTCTGGAAAATATATGTCGACGAGCTAATTCTAAAAACATAACGAATTGATGGTCCTGGACTAAGATTTTCGGAAAGTTTCGTTTGGAAATGAAATTTTTTAAATACGTCGCTCGACACAGAATTGAAAACTTGAGAATTTTCAAAAGTTGCCTACAAATAAAAAAATCTGGAAAACAATAAGCCGTTTCAACAAACGACACGTGGATGGTCTGATATTAAGATTTTCGAAAAATTCGGTTTGAAAATTGAGTTTTTTTAAGTACTTATGTACATTTCAAATTCTATCGGTTCTGGAAAAATTTTTGAAATTTTTTAAGAAATGAAACAAAAAGTAACTTTTACAAATCGAAGACTGCAAGAAAACGTCTTTTGGTAATTTTGGAAATGTGTTCGAAAAACTGTAAAAAAAATCAAATCATTGAAAGATTGAGATTTTTGAAAAGTTTATTTAAAATGCTCAAAAATTTTGGAAAATACATTTTGACAAGCTAATTCGAAAAATATACCTAAGATTTTCGGAAAATTCTTTTGAAAACGGAATTTTTTCAATATCTCTAAAGCTCGAAATGGAATTGAAAAATTGAGATTTTGTTTGAAAAAAAAAAATTGTGGGAAACACATTTCGACGAGCTCGAATCAGCAACGTGTTGATGGCTTCAAATCAAATTTTTCGAAAAATTAGGTTTAAAATTGACATTTAAATTAGTTTAAATGAGTATTTCAAATCTATCAATTCTAGAAAATTGTTTGAAATTTACAGCAAAATGTAAACTGTAAAAATTGATTTTATTGAAAGATTGAGAATTTTTGAAAAGTTGAATAACAATTCTCGACAAATTCTGGGAAATACATTTCGACGAGGTTTTTCGAAAATATAACGTGTTGATAGTCTTACATTAAGATTTTCGGAAAATCCGTTTGAAAATGAAATTTTTAAAATCTCGAAAGCTCGAGACGAAATTGAGGAGTTGAGATTTTTGTAAAATTGACTAAAAATCCTTAAAAAATCTGGGAAATACATTTGGACGAGTTTATTGAAAAATATAATGTGTTGATAGTCCTGTACTTTTCTGAGACTTCGTTTAAAAATGAATTTTTTTCAATATTTCTAAAGCTCGAAACGGAATTGAGCTTGAAATTTTTGGAAAATTGCCAAACAATCTTTAAAAAATCCTGGGAAATACATTTTGACGAGCTGATTCGAAGAACATGACGTGTTGATGGTTCTGGACTACAATTTTCAGAAAATTTCGTTTGAAAATGATTTTTTTTAATTTCCTCGAAAGCTCCAAATGGAATTGAAAAATTGAGCTTTTTAAAAAGTTACCTAAAAATCCTTAAAAAAAATCTAGGAAATACATTTCGACGAGTTGATTCGAAAAACATTACGTATGGTCCTGGAATAAATTTTCGGAAAATTTCGTTTGTAAATGAATTGCTTTATTTACCTCCAAAGCTCGAAATGGAATCGCATAATTAAAATATTTGAAAAATTGCCTAAAAATTCTGGGAAATACATTTGGACAAGCTGGTTCCAAAAATATAAGGTGTTGATAGTTTTGGACTAAGAACTCAGGAAAACCCATTTGAAAATGATTTTTTTTAACATCTTGAAAGCTCAAAACGGAATATTGAAGAGTTGACATTTTTGAAAAATTCTCTAAAAATCCTTAAAAAATTCTGGAAAATAGATTTTGACGAGCTGATTCCAAAACCATAACGTGTTGATGATCCTGGACTAAAATTTTCCGGAAAAGTTCGTTTGAAAATGAAATTTTTTATTACGTCGAAAGCTCGAAACGGAGTTGGAGAGTCGATGTTTTTGAAAAATCGCCTAAAAATCTTGATAAACTTCTAGGAAATACATTTAGACGAGCTGATTCGAAAAATATAACGTGTTTATAGTCTTGGACTAAGATTTTCAGAAAATCCGTTTGAAAGTGAAATTTTTTCAATATTCCTAAAGCTAGGAACGGAATTGAGGTTAAGATTTTTGAAAAATTGTCTAAAAATCTTTAAAAAAATCCTGGGAAATACATTTTGTCGAGCTGATTCGAAAAATATAAGGCGTTGGTGGTCCTGGACTAAAATTTTCGGAAAATTTCGTTTGAAAATGAAATTGAAGAGTTAGGATTTTTGAAAAATTGCCTGAAAATCCTTAAAAAATCTGAGAAATACATTTGGACGAGCTGATTGGAAAAATATAATGTGTTGATAGTCTTGGACTAAGATTTTCGGAAAATTTCGTTTGAAAATGAAATTGAAGAGTTAGGATTTTTGAAAAATTGCCTGAAAATCCTTAAAAAAATCTGAGAAATACATTTGGACGAGCTGATTGGAAAAATATAATGTGTTGATAGTCTTGGACTAAGATTTTCGGAAAATCCGGTTGAAAATGTTTTTGTTCAATATCTCTAAAGCTCGAAATGGAATTACGGTTGAGATTTTTGAAGAATTGCCTAAAAATCTTTTAAAAATCCTGGGAAATACATTTTGACGAGCTGATTTGAAAAACATGACGTGTTGATTGATAGTTCTGGACTTAAATTTTCAGAAAATTTCCTTTGAAAATTATTTTTTTTAATTACCTCGAAAGCTCGAAACGGTGAGTTGGAATTTTTGAAAAATTGCCAAAAAATCTTTAAAAAATCCTGGGAAATACATTTTGGCGAGCTGATTCGAAAAACATGACGTGTTTGATAGTCCTAGACTAAATTTTTCGGAAAATTTCGTTTGAAAATGGAATTGAAGAGTTGGGATTTTTGAAAAATTGCTTGAAAATCCTTATAATATTCTGGGAAATACATTTGGACGAGCTGATTAAAAACATGTGTTAATAATCTTGGACCAAGATTTTCGGAAAATCCGTTTGAGAATGTTTTTTTCAATATCGCGAAAGCTCAAAAATTCTTTAAAAATCTGGGAAATAGATTGTAACGAGCTAATTGGAAAAACACAACGTGTTGAGGGTCTCGAATCAATATTTTCGAAAAATTCTATTTGAAAATAAAATTTTTATGTTTCGAATTTTATCGATTCTGGATAATTTCGAAATTTTCTAAGAAATGAAGCAGAAAATACCTTTTACAAGTTGAACTCTACAAGAAAATGTCTTTCGATAATTTTCGAATGTGCTTGAAGAAAATCGGTCAAAAATTTCATAAAAATAAAAATCAAAATTTTTGAAAAGTTGACTAAAAATCAAAAAAAAAATCGTATTTGTGGTCCTGGACTAAGAGTTTCGAAAATTAACATTTCTAATCTATTCCCTCCAGTTCACCTCTCTGGTCCCCCTAAATTAATTAATGACATTTTATTTGAATCGGGCTTAACCTCTTTCGCAAATCCTTAACCTGATCACATTGTGTAGATAATTTTGAAATAAAATTTCTTCAGCTTTAAAATAATATCTGTTATAAACAACATAGTGGCTTAGCATTTTCAGCAGAAATTTTTATAGAAACATCTATCCCTCTTTCAAGGTTCTCTTGGTGATCTTAACTCTTTCCTAAATTTTATCAATTCTATCAATCCTTCAACAAAATTCACTTATCATTGAACAAATAGCCCTTAATAAGTCTTCCATAAAACCCTATACCCATCATAAACTCTCCCATAAGTTGATACCAGTTTCCAATCCTCCTTTGCCCTCTATCTCCTTTGGTTTTCCTTCTCTGTCCATTTTCAAAATTTTCGAAAAACTAGATTACAACATTGACTTGAAAGACTTCCTCCACTGGATAGATAGCGCCATTTATCTTTTTATCTATATCCAGAATACTGCATAGATGTCTCTAATTCACCTTGGGTTGAATTTGTATAATTTCTAAGTTTTGCACTTCTGGTAAGTGTATTAACGTTAATGATTTTGTAAGCTAATTTCCTGTTTATCATTTTGCTCTGATGATGGTACCAATAGGTGCCGAAACATGTTAGCTCTCAGCCCCAGTGTCGACAAAGGGTAGTGCCGGTTCTAGCCCAGGTCAAATAAGGTCAAACTACTTTTAGATCTTGCGCATTTTTCTTCAGTTTGCTTCAACAAAAAATCTATGAGCTGTAGATTGCGCAAAGTTGTCCAGCTTTTGCATTGTCAGTTCCGTGGTACCAACTAGCTTGTGTCCGAGCGAGGTGTGAATGTAGCGCGCTTGTGAGTGTTGGGCGCCATCAGGCGCCGGTAGCGCATCACTAGCCAGGCGACCGTGTGCCAAGTGTCCTTAATGGTGTGGTTGCTTAGTGGCACTCTCTGAGCCGCGAGGAGCAGGCCAAGTATTACGAGAAGGCGCGCCAGGAGCGCCAACTGCACATGCAGCTGTACCCGGGCTGGAGCGCGCGGGACAATTACGGCTACGGCACCAAGAAGAAGAAGCGAAAGAAAGAACGCACACCAGTCGAGTCGGGAGGTACACGCGCACCCTAACTAACCCGGAGGCCGGTCGGCGGCGTCCCGCCCCCAGGACCGCGCCGGCCGGCCTCGGAGACGTGCATACGCGCCAGAGCAGAATGGGTCGGCGGCCGGCTGGCAGGTCTCGGTTCTTGCGCGCGGCTTCTCTTGGTGCCTGCCGTGCCCGCCGTGTGACGTTGCTGACTCTATAAGTTCTGTTTAGTGGCACGCGCTGGGCCGCGAGGAGCAGGCCAAGTACTATGAGCTGGCGCGCCGGGAGAGGCAGCTGCACATGCAGCTCTACCCCGACTGGTCGTCGCGCGCCAACGCCACGCGTGGCAAGAAGAGGAAGCGCAAGCAAGACCCTGCCGATGGAGGTAGCTCTGCCAACAACTCGCAAATTACTACACCACCGACCGAACGAACGAACGGGATAGTAACTTGCGAGACGTGCAACACCTATTATATATCTATATTTCTTATATTTGCATGTTTGGGGTAATTCGGTTGGCCGGCCGGGACCTATTCTGCTGAGGGTCGAGCAGACCCCTTATTGTTGGTTGGACGAGTCGTATGCACGTTTGTCAGCAGCCTGCATGTCATTCATACAACCCCCTTATCTAGTAACTAGTACCATCAGTAGCACACCGCATGTTCCACGAAACCCATCCCTAAACCCTAGCCTTCCCGACCGTAGCAAATCCCACACACATACACACACACCGTAGCTACCCATAGATCGATCACCCTCCCACTCAAACCCAGCAGAATCATCACTCTTGATCAATCTAGTTACTGTATAGAGCCTAGTGTAGAGTAGTCGGGGCTGACCAAACCAACACCATGTGTACCTTGCTAGCGCATCTTTCGACCGAAAACCGACCACAAGTGCACACTAGAGATGCAACGAATACCCGACGACTATCCTAGCACCACCGCAACCAAGAGACGTCTGATTACCTATTCAATAAGTTGTTACATTGTTACAAACACAAGTGTCCTCCTGAATCTTCTGGCATTCTTCCTAACACTTCTATTCTACTCCTTAACTACTAACTCTACATTTTTGTACAATCTTTCTCTGGAATACAAGAAAAATTCCGCCAAATTTGTCAAAACACGGTACCGACGGTCCGCCCACAATATGAAGGGTTATGACGGTTGCACCAAACCCTCCCTTTGAATCCTGTGCCCACTCGTTGCATCCCTAGTCTGCACCCTCCCGTGAGCGGCGCCACGCCGCCACGCTAGAGCACGTCGAAAACAACAACCGAGCTATTACAATCTGTGTGCACCGCACTCTCACAAATCTTCGAACTAACCGTAATTCTGCTACCAAGGTACGCATCCCCAGTTGGCTTCGTCAGTCCCACGCATGATCCTCCCCCAACCACCGCGCAGACATTAACTCGTTTACTTGAATCCGTCAGGTAACAGCATGAAGAAGTGCCGAGCAAGGTACGGATTGGACCAACAGAACCAGTGGTGTAAGCCATGCAGGTGTGTACCCTTGATTTTTTTTTGGTGGTTTTAGTTCGGCATGCGTTTATTTACTTTTTTTACTTGTTTTAATAACCAACCTGATTTCAAACTGATGGACGTTTCGAATAACAGCTAACACGTTTGATTTTTTCGAGCACAGTAGGAGGTCGTGTCACGGTGTCGACTCTTGTCGGACACGATGGACTATGGACTTGAAACGCATGTAACACTTATGATTATGCTTCACGGTGTGTGCGTGAGCACAGTGCACAGTTTTGTTGCTGGAGTGGAGGTTTGAGCATTGCGGGGTGGGGACGGGGTAGGTTCGAATTGGGGTGTGAAGGGAAATTTCACACCCTGTTTTAAGGGAGTAACATTAAAAAAAATTTTAAATATATTAATATTGAGGAGTAGGGAGGAATTAGTTACACATTGACTATAGGATTGTGGGACCTCTAATAATATAACTAATGAAGATTTTGAAAAGTTAAAACTCCCAGTCATTTTCGATCACTCTTATATACAATAAATATTTTTTTCTTAAGTTGGATGTCAACAAAATAATCAGATGATAAACAATTTTAAATAAAAGAAATATAACACGCCAAGAAAACGCGCCATTGACTTAAAAATGACTAGATGGATCCACTTGTCAGTTTGCTGCTTATATATATACAGATACAGGCTGTTTATAAAAGATTAACTTTAAAATTCCCTTTGCCGCCTCGTTGTAATTTTTGATTACTCGTAGCCTGTCACAAATGTCACTCATAACCTAGCTTTTTTATGCTTTTTCGGCGTGTTTGCTGCATGATAGTTCAATTCAAGTCATGGAAGCGGCAATTCTATTAAAACTGAATGATAAATTTGCCAAAGACAATTAGATGTAGAATGTTTTATAAGTACATTTCAAAATTTTTGACATCTTGGTTGCTCATGCCTAGATAAACTACCCCGAATAATATACCGGGTGTCTGAAAAATGGCGGATTAACTCTCGGCTGCGCTCTTAACAATCAACTGATCTGGGAAAAATAGAAAAAAACTATCTCTCTCACATTTAATTGATTATTTTGCTACGTTTAACAACTAAAGAACACATTCATTATTATAACAACTACTAATAAAACTTTTAGTTAATATTTCTCTCCCCCATGGCCATGTTTAATTTACCATTTCAGTTAGAACGTACAAAGATATGGTTTGCCAAAATTAGTCTTACCTTAGAAGCTACTAGCCCCACCCACCCACCCTCTCTTTTCTTAGAGGCTATCTCATTTGCCAAAATCACTCTCATCTTAGCGGGTACTAGCCCCGCCCACCCACCCTCTCTTTCTTTAGAAGCTATCTCATTTGCCAAATTCACTCTTATCTTAGCAGGTACTAGCCCCGCCCACCCACCCTCTCTTTTCTTAGAGGCTATCTCATTTGCCAAAATCACTCTTATCTTAGCAGGTACTAACCCCGCCCACCCACCCTCTCTTTCTTTAGAAGCTATCTCATTTGCCAAAATCACTCTTATCTTAGCAGGTACTAACCCCGCCCACCCACCCTCTCTTTCTTTAGAAGCTATCTCATTTGCCAAAATCACTCTTATCTTAGCAGGTACTAGCCCCGCCCACCCACCCTCTCTTTTCTTAGAGGCTATCTCATTTGCCAAAATCAGTTTTATCTTAGCAAGTACTAGCCCCACCCACCCGCCCTCTCTTTTCTTGGAGGCTATCTCATTTGCCAAAATCACTCTTAACTTAGCAGGTACTAGCCGCGCCCATCCACCCTCTCTTTCCTTAGAGGCTATCTCATTTGCCAAAATCACTCTTATCTTAGCAGGTACTAGCCCCGCCCACCCACCCTCTCTTTCCTTAGAGTCTATCTCATTTGCCAAAATCACTCTCTGCTCCTAGCAGGTACTAGCCCCGCCCACCCACCCTCTCTTTTCTTAGAGAGTATGTCATTTGCCAAAATCAGTTTTTTCTTAGCAGCTACTAGACCACCCACCCACCCTCTCTTCTCTTAGAAGGTATCTCATTTGCCAAAATCAGTCTTATCTTAACACAATACTAGGACCGCCCACCCACCCTTTCTTGTTTTAGAAGGTATGTCATTTGCCAAAATCAGTTTTACCTTAGCAGGTACTAGCCCCGCCCACCCACCCTCTCTTTTCTTAGAAGATATGTCATTTGCCAAAATCAGTTTTTTCTTAACTTAAGTACTCATGAAATAAGCTGGAGGTATTCACGCATTAGGTGCGTGCAATGTTGCCAATTTTACTTTTATAAAATTATAATTTTTTCGTAATCTACATCATAATTTTTTTTTATTAATGGACGTACTGAAGAGAATCCGCCATTTTTCAGACACCCGGTATAAATCGATCTTGGCAATTTTAGTTATAAAAATATCAGTGTCAATTTTGAGGTTATGATTGAACTGAAATTGTAATTTAGAAAGTCTGTGTTTTTGACAAATTGACAGTGAACACTTAACTCGCTTTTTGACGATTTTGACAACAAATTTGAAATTCCAACGCACACTGAGACATTAATTATTATTAAATATACTACAGTGTGTTTAAAATAAATAACGAGTTAAATTGAGGGGTGTTTTTGACTATACCTGTTTTAAATATTTCACACTGCTGAAACCTGAAGTACTTTTGACTGATTTCGAAATTTTTACCAGAAATTCAGATACAAAAACTTTTTTTTCTGATTAATCTTTTTACATAACCACAATTTTTGAAAGTGAACTTTTTCGAGTGAAATTAATGAAACTTTTTGGATGAGGTTCCACAGTTTATTTTTGAAATTACAATGCGACGTTGCCACGTTATTCCGATTTTCTTGAATGTTTTTGACAATGGAAGGGTTCACAAAAAATACAGTACAGTCTTACAATATTTTGTGAAGAGATAAAGAAAAGTACGCATTTTGTTTTGGCTTAAATAAGATGAAATTTTCATATACAGAGTGTTTATAAAAATGTTTTGATTATTACAATTTTCAAATATCGATGTTTGGGTTTTTTCAAATAGAGCACCTATATTTTATTACTGCATTTATCAGTCGATAGCACGTAGTATTTAATTTCAAATCATAATTTAAATTACCTCAAAATTAACGTTCACAGAATATTTCACTTTTCTCTTTTTTATTTGAGATAAATTGTAGAAAATAATAAAGTTGATTGCATCAATGGTTTGTTTATTAAAGAAAAAATTGGAACTTTTAGGTTACAAATCCTATCTATATACAGGATGATTCACAAAGTCCGCGATCCAGTTTTCTTGAATTTTTTTAGCAATGGAAGGGTTCACAAAAAAACAGTCGGATTATTTTTAAAATCCGTGTTACAACCTTGTGGTAAAAATGGGGTTAAATTTTCGGATACAGGATGTTTATAAAAAACGTTTTCAAATGTCGATATTTCAGTTTTTTATTGAGTACTTTTTATATTTAAAATGGATACTTACTGAGATTTTTTACTTTGTTATGAGACACGACGTATATGAGAAGAATTAGGACAAATATAGAGTAAAATACAGTAATAAAATACAGGATGTTCCGTTTGAAAAACCTGAAATGTTAATATCTGTAAATTGTAAATTTTTCGATTTTTTTATAAACATTCTGTATATTAAAATTTGAATTAGTTGATACTACAACAAATCTCGTACCTTTTGTTTATCCTTCCTCAAAATATTGTGAGACATACTTTAAAAATAACCCTATTGTGATTTTTATTGTCATGAAAGTTGGAATAACGTGGCAACGTCGCATTGGAATTTAAAAAAAACTGTAGTTGTAAAGCCTAAGTACAGCTCAATCAAAATATATAAAAACATACAGGCTGTTTCATTAAAGAAAAAAACAATTTGTGTTGCATCTTACAAAGAGAACACTCTGTTTCTAATAATTAATTAATATATATACAAGTGATTGTAAAAGATTACATCAAATTAGCTTTAAAATTTCATGAATTTTGGCGCCTTGTTGTAATGATTGATGACTACTCGTAGCCTGTCACAAATGTCAATCATAACCTAACTTTTTTATGCTTTTTCGAGTGTTGTTGATAGTTTAATTGAGGTCATTGAGGCGGCAAACTATTACAATGCAGTGATCAATTTTCCAAGGCCAACTAGGTGTAAATATTTTATCATTACGGTCTATATAAAATAAATAGCAAGTCAATAGACACTCAGATACAATAAACACATCTTGTTTTAAATTAATTTTGTTACATGTTCAAAATTTTGAAATTGGAAATTGAACTGAAGTGAAAACTGTTTAGAGTGAAAGTAATGAAATTGTTTGGAATTGAGTTCCTTTGTATAGTAACAAAAAAAAAAAATGGAAAATACGTGAAAAATCTTTCCTGATATAACCTCAAATTTTATTAGGACTTTTTAAGTGCCGCTTATCATCCTCGTGCAAGTTACTACGGAAAGAAGGGTTTTGCCGCTTTTTCGCTGTAGTGTTTCAAACTATCCACTAAAGTTTATTTATTAACCAACTGAACTATATATACCGAGAAAAACTTAGCTTTGTCTGAAATATTTTTGTATGTCAAAGTCAGTGATCTGTTATTATACAGGCTAGATATAAATTATGTCAAGAATTAGAGGGAAAAGAAATCCCATATTTAAATTAATAAATTAAGAAGTTAATAAAAATTTCAATAATCTATGCTGTAGTTGTTAATTTCTTTTCGTATACACTAGTCAAATTTATGCGCGAAACATAGACCTTGACAATTGATCGATAATTTTATTCCGCTTATCTGTTCTCAAGTTATTACTACGAAAATCACCGTTTTGCCGCTCTAGCGCTCCACTGTTCCTAACTAGCACTGAAGTTCTCGAAAATTGAGACTGAAATCTAGAAAATTTACTTTTCGTTCAAATTAAACCTTTAGTATGCAATGCTCAACCTCCAATTTTCGCACCGTAGAGCTTTGACCAGCCACAGTGTTGTCCATGGTAAAGCAGGCATCGTCGAGCGCACTCGAACCGTCCAT